TGAGGCACCGAAAAACTCAGGAGTGACCTGATTAGCTGGATTGATCTAGAGTGAGATCCAATCATTTGATTCAACATTTCAATATTTTCCTTCATTTCTTCCAACACTCGTTCTTGATCGGTGATCTTTTGGAGAATGATTTGAAGTGTGTCCTAGACACGATTTTTCCCTCCATCTCTAGGCTTCCTCCGCTCATGAGGGGATATATATCTCCCCTTGTTGTTGCATTGGACTTCTACCTCTGAGATTTTGGTGGCCAAGTCGTTTAGATGAGATGCCAGTGCGGTCAGCGTGAGGTCCTTTTGGACTCCTTGGCTCATTTCAACCAAATTGCCACTACTCTGCTCAGCCATGCTCATCTAAATGGACAACTCAACGAAGAACAAAACTAAAAGTAAAATTAGTGACACTACAACTAATAAGAACAAAAACTTTATTAAACTAAGAATTCTCAAACAACACCACTCCCCGGCAGCGGCGCCATTTTGATGATTATCGTGACCAACGACACTAACCTACAGTACGAGTGTCTACGATCGTCGATAATATAGTAACCCCAACCAAGGGGTTGGGGTCGTGTCCCAAGGGAGTGGTTTTGAGAATTAGTAGAAAAATAAAATTTAGTTCAAACTAGTCGTAACTAAAGACATTAACGATTAAAAACATTGTAAATAAAAAGGGGTGACACAAAGGTGTCAAATATCAACTGGGGTTTTGTCACAAGTAGTAAAAACAACAAATATAATAAGAAGATCAAGTATGGGGACAAGTTCTTTGGGTGTGACCACAATACAAGTTGAGATAAATCGTTGGGTACATGCTTTCGATAGGAAATTTGCAAGATAATAGTGATTAGGCTAAGCTTTAGATGGGAATAATTTCCCTCTCGAGCAACTTACCCGTTTCAAATGCGTTCCTCTCGAACACCCATTTACCGCATGAAGGCCAGCCTACGCCTTACCCCACTCACTCTCTCGAGCTGAATGTTAGGATATGGGACTAGGGCT